TGTAGCACTGCTGCTGTTCTGTCATGACTCACTTTAAAGGCACCATCTTCTCTGCATGGCCCATGCTCAACTGCTTTCTTTAGCACAGGTAAGTCTGCAGCATCCACACTGCTTACTAGTGTGTGCAAAAAAACTACATTCTCAAGCACTGGTGAGTTAGTAACTCCAGTCTGCAAAACTCTGTAGACCCAAAGGAGCATTAGAGACAGCTCAACACCCCCTCCAAATATCAAACATTGCTGGCTTCCTTAACTGCTGTCATCAGTGCTTCCACCCCAACTCCTGCCGAACAGTGAGCATTCAACTCCAATGTTTTACTATTCTTCCCTCAACATAACATTAGAAGGGAAAGAACAGTTTACCCAGAGTAGCTTCTTGACTAAGGAAGGAAAATCACAACCTCTGAAACACCAGCAGAATGTTTCCTAGAGATGGAGATGGTGCTTAAAAGGATTCACTGTGCAGGGAAGGAATCAGTATGGGAAGCCTCTGCATTTTTCACTGGGAAGGGCTGTGGATCTGAACGCAGCTCATCTGGATCAAGAAAAAGCTTTTTGCAGTCCAGAGCTTATTTAAACTTGCTTTTTGGAGCCCTCACAAGGGTATCTGAATACTTTCTTCTAAAAGAGGAGCAATTCACTAAGAGCAGAGCGCTCCCCTACTGTGAACAGAGGAGGTCCTTTTTGCACCCATTCAGGACAATTTTCTACCTCAAAGCACTTCAAAAGGAGACCAACCTACCTCATTGCCTGCCCCACTCACACTGTCACTCTAAAGGGTCAGAATACTCCACTAGCTCACAACAGAAAGAACTGGCTAATCAGCACCCTCCGCACTGTCCCAAGGTCCACCCCAAAATAATTTGCTTAAAGCAACGTCACACTCCATGCAGCATCTTGTGTGTGCTTAGTGCAGGAAGCATCAACCAGCAGGAGGTACGTACGGCAGGTGTAAACATCTCTGTACTCCATGTGCTCGTAGTCGGGAAGGATTTTCATAAAACGCCCCGACTTCACTCGTGGGTTTATACCTGAACAGACACAGCAGGGTAAGTACCAGCAAACTCTGCTCCACTGTAACCAGTACGTAACAGTACCATGAATCTGGACCAACCACGCAGGAAAGTCAAACTCTCTTTTGACTTTACTTCCAGTTGTGGTGCACCATTTGTTTCCATCAGCCCCAGTTGCAGGCATACCCACAGGATTACTCACACAGAACTTGGCATGCTCAAGATTCCCACAGACAATATTTACAAATGGCACCCACTGAATCTGAAGCAGAATCAGGGTCCCCCTCAAACTCTGCAGTGCGACTGAGACAGCACCGCTGTCTCAGTAAGACCACTTAGGCCAAGTAACTACACGGATTAGTTATGCTTTCTAGCACTTCCAGTTCCTCATTTCCCATACTGCTTCTTACAGAAGCACATTCAGTGGGCAGAAAAGTGCATGTTCGTCCTGCCAGTAGACCCAAATTAACTCTTTCGCAATTAAAGAAGTTTATGGGACAGTAGAGAAAATGGGGTGACACCATCAGGAAACGGTTCTGCTACATGTCCGCAACAGGGCAAACTGCTGAATCTGAGCAGGAGAGCTAAGATGGTGCATCCCTGAAAGCCAGAAAGAGCTGCCAAGCATTCTGACTTTAGAGTAACCATTGGTAGTCAGGATTGCTGAATGGATGCAGACACAGCCCTTACTCAGAAGGGCTGTCCATCACAGAGGCCGTGCTCACACGTCAAGTGTGGCTCTTTGCCAATGGGTGCTATGGATCCAGAAACTACTTTGGTGCGAGGGAAGACTGGAAGCAAATGTGTAAGACTGCTCTGTTGAGGGCTATTAAATCAACAAACTGCATTAGACTGTGGAAATCCCCCAACCTGAGGATAGTCAGAAGCTGGGAGAGTACTTAGGAAAGCATTGCATAGGCTTCCCTCTTCTTGGTCTTCCCTGGGTGACTGCTCGTAGCCATGGCCACAAAATACAGTGCCAGGCTAGAGACAGATTATTGTTCTGAGCCAGTAAGGCCATTTTTACAGATAACTTGCATATAAAAAGCACTAAGTGTCACTGTAATAAATCTGAACCATGGAGCTATTGTAGTGGAAAAAGCCTACAACTCAGGAAGATATGGTCTGCCATTTAAGACCAGCAATGCAGAACTGAGATCCAATACGGTATGTACAGTATGGCTGTTACCACACCACCCTCATACAGAGATATGAGATAGAATGGCAAGAAAGGGAGGCCTCAAGGGCTGATGAGACTTCTCTGTGGACACCGAAGTGCTGGCTCAGCATTGCTCAGCCCTTCCACCCAGGAAAATTAGGCAGTTCCAGTCCTAGTGCACAAATAGGTAAAGAGGGACACTAGGTGATGAAATAATTTACCCATGGATACTCAGCAAGTCTATTACAGATGGGATTAAAACCCTTCCACCTGTCCTCTTTTCCAGCATTGAGATCAGTGCTCGAGGTCATCACTGCTTCAAGGTTCAGCAAATACAGTACATGTAGAAGCTGAGCCAGGTTTTGGATCTGCAAAGCCTGCAGAGACCTCTCATGGCTGTAATGTGGGACAATAACAGCTTTTGTTTCATAAAGCAGGACCTTATTTGAACAGCCAGAAGCCATAGTTCACATGCTGCAGGTTACATCTTGTTCTTTGTCCTACGAACCACAAAGTTTTACAAAATTTGTGGTGGGGAACCATGACAACACAGCCTGGCAGTGCTGGTATGGGAGCTCCTCAGGGCTTCGCAAGGCTCCCTGAGCAACCACTTCAGCTTCTGCCTGCAAAGGGTGAGATATGGTGATGGGGGAAAGACGGCCTCACCATGGATCCAGGCCCCCATTCAGACCTTAGCCCGAATTGGTTTCTCTCCTCTGATGATGTCCCCTCCCCACTCTAAGACAGATAACATCCATCTTCCATGCAGAAGGCACAGTGGGTCTAAAGAGCTGGAGTCCCATTCCCACAGATGTTCCCAAAACGCACCAACACCTCGGTAGAGGCCCAGCCCTGCCAGGCTCTCCTCCTCCAGAGGAACACTCTATAGCACTCTCCCACTGTCAGCGTATAACAGCATCCTTTCACTGAGGTCGAGACTTAGCTACGTTAGGGCTATGAAAACGTATCAATTAATTCCTTAGCAAGATCTGAAAATGGCAAAACAGGCAAGGATGAAATACCCTCAATACATTTTTATAATAAAGTCAAATTACATGCCCTTTTCCCACCAAAGGATTCGGGGGCACAGACATCCCAATTCTTGGCATCTGCTTAGTATTAAATAAAACTCCAAACATGTCAACTTCACAGATGAAACCCCTGCCATTATAGCAAGTAAGTCTGAATAACTTATGCCATGAAAGTTTAATAAATATTCAACAAGTATATGCTTTCATAATTGGTGCTAAGCAAGGACATACAGATCTATATTAGCTTTAGCACTTACGTTTGGCATAAACATCTCGACAGGACACTCCTGTGACCTCCAATTTCCGCAAGTTTTCACAGACGCCATATTCTGCAATGACACAGATAACAATGTCAACTCTGGCACAAAGGTGTTTGCCACTCAGGATCTTAAGATCTACTGTTACAGCAAAAATGCAGTCTTATTAGGTGTGTTCTTGCAAGCTGCCACATTAGTCCGAGAATCTTATTGCTGCTCTGAAGAAGTAACAGAAAACTAGATGTAATTATACTGAAGTTTGGGAATCTAACACATTTTACAAGCAATGCCTGCAACAAACACACCATAAGGAACACACAACACAGCAAAGATGCAGATTCTTACACCTAGACCAGGAAGAGTGTGAAATGTGGAAGACGTACTTATTCCAGCTGGGACTGTATGCCCGTTTAGATCAAATCATGATTGCGTGTAGTAATTATGTACTCCCACTGAGGTATCCAACAGGGAAAACTGCTTATTACGATCCTAAAGAAAAGGTCAGACTTTAAAAAGAACGAAATGGAGACATAAAACAGGCATCAGCATGTACAAATATGGTTACACTTGAAAGCAGATCAGATTGAGATGGGTCTGTTGTACGCTCAAATGCCTTTGATTGCTTACAGAACACCCTGAAAACAAAGCAATCCAGAGATCTTAAAGACAGCTTTGAAGCAGAAAATGAGATTCTCTCATTTCATTTTCAGGAAGTCAATGTCAAACTTCTAAGAAACTTTAAAAAAATAGAAGCAAGTACTAACATCTCGATGCAAGAAATCCTTAGAAGACCAGAGAGAGGAAATGAGAGGAGGGAGATCCCAAAAAATCATCAGCAACAAAAAACATCCTGCTGCAGCAACCCCGATAGATCTCAGTGTGGAAAACTACCCTCCTTGACATCAAAGACATCCACACTACAGATCAAACACCAGCTTTTCTTAGCAATACTGAACATTTGCCAGATATTTGACGCAAAAGTGTATCTGTGAAGACCCTCATCAAATCATTAAATATGAAACTTATCCTCTGTTGAGCTTCCTTGAATTAACAACCTACCGTGGCTGCCAAATACCACTACCTAATGCTGGTAACCTGCAGCAAACCGAGAATTCATTTTTCATGTACAAGAAAAGCACAAGTTTCCCTGAATGAATTCAATCTCCTCCTGCCTATAAATAGACTTGTGGTACATGTACACGATGATAAAGCATGTGCAAAGCTCACCATCAGCCCAGCTACAGGGAATACACGTTCTGCCTAACTTTGCTTAAGTACCTTCAGCAAAGGTAAGAGTGGGCAGAAGGTACAACAAACACATTGCCCTTCATTAAAAGATGCAAAGGTTAGTGGCAAAGTTCCTGCTGATTTCCGTAGCAAAAGCCAGAGGAAGCTCTAAGCGTTATCAAACGCAAGGTGGGATGAAGAAGCACAATTAGCCAGAGAGCAGACAGACGAGCTTGCGGGATAGTACATCCAGCCCAGCACAAACAAGCTATTTAGTGCTGGGCTACGGCCAGCTGACCCGACACAGCCGTTCTGCAGATTTGTGAAACCAGAGCTCTGCTGGACGCTGGAAATTCAGACCCACCCTGCAGGTCACCCCATGTCTGTCCCTCCTGCCAGGCTTAGCATGGCTTTGGAGCACTGGTCTGCATATGTACACAAGTGGGTATGTGTTTGGTCACTGCATCAAAGGGATGGAGGGAACAGGATGTTTCCTCAGCTGATCAGAAAGTTAGAGATCTTTCTAAGATGACAGAAACAGCGTGGTCACAGCCTGCTGTTTGGAAACAGCCAACTCTTTCCGTGTAAACAAACACTCACCTGGCCACAGAGTCAGTACGATGCGCACTTTGCGCAGCAGGCATTGCAGCTAGATTAAATTCACTGTCATTGAAGATATTTATACTGCATCAGAAAGGGAGGAGACATGCGGAGGATCCTGCCCAAATGGCATTTCTCCGTGCTGCTCTCTAACAGCAGTACCAGCCCGGTGACGTTCTCTTTTCCTCCAGAAAGCGCTGATTTTTCGCAAAGCGTTTTGCCTAGTAGATCTGTAAATCACTTTGAGTGCAGTCTCAATGCAGTGCCAGGACAGAGCCACTACCAGCAGGTACCTTGAAACAACAGGGTGGGAAGTAATTTGATGTTAAAGCTCCATCCCAGGTTCATGCAAGTGCCCTTGATAACCTGCAGTGAAATTTTATGAAAGCCAAACCACTACTAAAGACGCATTTCCTAAATTTTGTAGTTCAAATTTTTCCTGGAAAGATTCAGTTCTCCAAAGTAATAGCAAGCTCCTTAAAAAAAAAAAAAAAAAAAAAGAGAGAGAAAAATTTAGAATTTTGATATTGCTACACACTATTTGACATTAGATATCCAAGGCTTATAAGAAAGTATTGTCAAGAAAGAAAATAATCTCGTTTTAGTGAGCTTTGACACTCATCTGGTTTTATAACAACTAGTCCTTACACTGTTTTGTTCAGCAAACAACTCCAAGAGTCAAAATCCCAGAGTGATGGCATAGCTCTGGGTTAAGTGCATCACTTAAGGTCTTCTGACTCATGAGCTGGTAACACCATGATGGGAAAAATCAGCCTCTCAGCTCGCAGTGCTTACAAAAATTCCAAATATTATCAGCAAGAAAGCTGGCCATCTCTTTCTATTCCAGAAGACAAGAGGGACATAAAATTAACATTACAGAGAATAGAAAGCCTTTTCCAAGAAAGCTTTGAAAGGCTCGATCTTCCTGGGAAATTCCACTTCAGTGCAATTAAGTCTATTTTAAGGAAACATATCTCAGTGCAACAGCTCACCAAGTATTTTGAAGAGTTAATAGTCACAGAAATTCACACACAAAATTTATACCGTTAGAAAATGGCTACTTAGTCTTGCTTCAAAAGCAAGGATGGAAATTGGTTTTAAAGTTCTTACTTGACCAGCTGGAAAGCCTGTTTTATTAGGTTTATAAGGAGTGCTTGAAAGATTTACCACAGACACAGTGACACAGTGCTGTTTCCATGGTCACATGCAGTGGAATTTAAAGGAAAGGCAGTCTCCATTTCTTATGAACTGCACTAGTACTTTTGCAAGTGTAATTTACTCCCTGGCCTGCTCTCACCATACCAAGTCTCGTGTTCCCTTCTCCTTTCTACAAGGAGCCATGTCACACACCTCCCTCTGTGCAGCCCACACAAGTTTTAAAAAACTCAAACCAACCAACCAAACAAGGCTCTTTAAACCCAGAGAAGGAAGAACCCCTGTACTCATACCAAAGACCAAATTACTGCTTTTTTTCTTTCTCAGCATGGCAATGCCATTAAGCAGCTGCAAGCACTGTATGTGGACATCCGCAATTCAGAGGAAATTAGGATGTCTGATGGAGCTTGACACCCTTATCACTGCTAAGTTTCACCAACCAACCAAACAAGGCTCTTTAAACCCAGAGAAGGAAGAACCCCTGTACTCATACCAAAGACCAAATTACTGCTTTTTTTCTTTCTCAGCATGGCAATGCCATTAAGCAGCTGCAAGCACTGTATGTGGACATCCGCAATTCAGAGGAAATTAGGATGTCTGATGGAGCTTGACACCCTTATCACTGCTAAGTTTCAACTGCACCCTGACTAATCAAGCCCTCTAATTTTTTCTGGATAAATAAATGCATGTTTACAAGGCTGTACGCAGAACAGAGAGCATAGAAACTTACTGAATTATTTCAGACACTACAAAAATGGGAGATTCTCAGGCTAGCATCTCCAAAATACAAGGTGGACAAGTTTGGAACCAGGTTCTTGTTTCCAAAGGCTGAACTATCAGATTAAAATACACCAAATACTTTCCAAACACTTCTCCCAGGGGAAGGCTTGTAGTTACCATCGAGATATTTTGCAGCCACAAATACGGAGCTGAGCAAAAGATGATTTGATCTGCAACAAATGAAAAGTGTTTGCAGAAACCCTAAAGCAAAAGACAGATAGCTTCAGATCTTACAAATGGGTCTAAGGAAAACCCTCTCAAAGATGGCTATGGCAACTGAGCACCTGCCATTAGCAGTGAGAATCAGCAAACCATTGCCAAGTTGTAGTCTAAAATCCAAAGAACATGGTCAGAGATGAAGAAAAGCCCACGATGGTTCACCAGAGAAACACACTATACAATGCTTTAACTTCACATAAAGAGAGTTTAGAGCTTTGTGACTTATTGAAACCAACCTTCGCATTTACTAGGGTGCAGCACTACGAGAAATTGTTCCTGTTGTGGGAGCAGTTGTACATTCAACTCCTGCGTGGATACTCCAGAGTCCTGTAAGACCTGAGCTCCACGCGACAGTCCCTTCACTGAGTGCATAAACCAAATTTCCCACTCTTGCCCACAGGCACTTCTTTCTATAAAAGTCACTGAAGGTTAGCATCTTTAATACCTTGGCTGACATTTTTCAGCAGGTCCAAAAGCTGTTGGAGGTTGTTTTCACAAGCAAAAGCCTTTTCATCCAAGTTCTAGATCTGCTTATTCTGAGTTACTGGTCTGTTTCTGGGTGTTCCGCTGCACTTGCACTGTTTTATTTTAAGATGAAAGTGGTTACCATTTAAAATGGACTATCAGGTGTTAATCAAGGTAGGTCAGGCCACCAGCCAGGGTGAAACAGGCTTTAATTCTGCTCCCACTGCAGAGATCAGCAATCTCCTATTTATAGAAAACCTGAAAGTGACTGCAATCCTCCTCTTGCCAAAGCAGCAATTCAGAGACATTGTTTACCCCAAACAGTTACAATGATAAAAGGACAACAGTCCAAACAGCCATGCCAGTGTTACACAACTACTTCTGGTTAATCCCAGCACTCTCCCAGTTCAGAGTCACCAGCAAAAGCCACTCCACTTTCAGGGCAGGCCCTCCGGATGCTCGCAAGATACCATCGCTCAAAGGATCAAGTGCCCCATCTGACTTGGGCGATGGCTTTTGCTTACATTCAGCACTGCTCCTGTCCAAGACGAAGGTAGAAAATGGCTAAAACAAAGCACGGCAACAATCAGCTTCTCTCAGACAAGAACTGTTCTGTTT